TTCTTTTCCTCTATTTCTTTGCACTGTTCATTTAAGAAGGCCCTCTTGTCTCTCCTTGCTATTCTTTGGAAGTCTGCATTCAGTTTTCTGTAACTTTCCCTATCTCCCTTGCATTTTGTTTCCCTTCCCTTCTCTGCTATTTGTAAAGCCTCGTTGGACAGCCACTTTCTTGCATTTCCTTTTCTTTGGGATGTTTTTTGTTGCTGCCTCCTGTACAATGTTACGAGCCTCTATCCAAAGTTCTTCAGGCACTCTGTCCGCCAAATCTAGTTCCTTAAATCTGTTCTTCACTTCCACTGTGTATTCATAAGGGATTTGGTTTAGATTATACCTGACTAGCCCAGTGCGCTAGTTTAATCTTGGTTTTGCTATAAGAAGCTGATGATCAGAGCCACAAACAGCTCCAGGTCTTGTTTTTGCTGACTGTATAGAGCTTCTCCATCTTTGACTGCAGAGAATATAATCAATCTGATTTTGGTATTGCTCATCTGGTGATTTCCATGTGTAGAGTTGCCTCTTGTGTTGTTGGAAAAGAGTGTGATGACCAGCTTATTCTCTTGACAAAATTCTATTAGCTTTGCCCTGCTTCATTTTGAACTCCAAAGCCAAACTTCCCTGTTGTTCCTTTTATCTCTTGACTCCTTACTTTAGCATTCCAATCCCCTAGAATGAGAAGAACATCTTTCTTTGGTGTCAGTTCTAGAAGGTGTTGTAAGTGTTCATAGAATTGGTCAATTTCAGCCTCTTCAGCATTGGTGGTTGGTGCATAAACTTGGATAACTGTGATGTTGAAAGGTCTGCCTTGGGTTCTTATTGAAATCATTCTATCATTTTTAAGATTGTATCCCGGTACAGCTTTCCCCACTCTTTTGTTGACTATGAGGGCTACTCCATTTCTTCTACGGGATTCATGCCCACAGTAGTAGATATAATAATCGTAAAATTGAATTCGCCAATTCCTGTCCATTTTAGTTCACTGATACCCAGGATGTCAATGTTTATTCTTGCTATCTCCTGTTTACCAAGGTTCATAGATCTTACATTGCAGGTTCCTATGCAGTATTTTTCTTTGCAGCATTGGACTTTCCTTTCACTTCCATGCGTGTCCGCAGCTGAGCGTCCTTTCGGCTTTGGCCCAACTGCTTTGTTAGCTCTCAAGCTACTTGTACTTATTCTCTGCTGTTCCTCAATAGCATGTTGGCTGCCTTCCAATCTGAGGAGCTCATCTTCAAGAATCACATCTTTTAGCCTTTTGTTTCTGTTCATGGCAAAGATACTGGAGTGGCTTGCCCGTTCCTGCTCCAGGTGGATCGCGTTTAGCCCAAACTCTCCACTATGACCTGTCCATCTTGGGTGTCCCTGCACGGCATAGCACATAGCTTCGCCTGAATTACTCAAGCCCCTTTACCACAACAAGGCAGCAACCTGTGAAGGGGAATGAGGATTAAGTTATGTTAATGTGATGCCTTTATTTTGTCAGGTACCCTTTGCACCTTCTTCCTTCCTAGCAGAGCTGATATAATTGAATGCAACATGGCCATATCTTGTCAGTTTTTTCTGTGTACACAAGATTAAGGTATAAAATAAAATTAAAGTCAGGTCTTTTTTCACTCAGGAGCATTTTGAGATATTAATGTAAAAGCTAGTATTAAAATGAGCAGGAGTAGCTTGAAGCACATTTGACATGAATTTCTTTACACTGTTAAGACGACACATGACATTTTGTTTTGGAATATTCCCATATAGGGAATGGTTAACAAAAATTTTGGGGGGGAAAGCTACCCTATTATCATGCTACTTAAAAACTTCGTAAGGAGGACTACATTTTAAAGCTTTTGCTTCCGCACAGGTACTAGAAGAGCAGGACTAGCATTTCCCCCCCAGTAAATATTTTGCAGTCTGAGCCCTCTGATATAATGGCTACCTGTAGACATCAAATAAACCATGGTTTTAATCAATTGTGAATGATTGTAGCCAGCATTTAGCCGCCCAAGGCCATGTTTATTCCCCCCACCTTCAAAGCTCCTCAAGCCTGCCTCTCTCTCTCTCTCTCTCTCTCTCTCTCTCTCTCTCTCTCTCTCTCTCTCTCTCTCTCTCTCTCTCTCTCTATCTATCTATCTATCTATCTATCTATCTATCTATCTATCTATCTATCTATATTTGATAGCACAGTCATTGTCTTTTCCTGTAAAAAACCTTCAGAAGGGGTAATTCACATTAAAACAAATTTCAGATTCTTCAGATCCTGTGCAAAATAAAACCAGAAGTGAATTCCTGGAAAATAGTTGTTTTCACCATCACCACCACACACATACCTAGGTGTGAAAAAATGGTGACTCACCAAAGAAGCCAGTCAAAAACTTCTGAAGTTGTTAATATAGTGATACTTTCTTTCTAATTACTTATTTCCCATTTGAAATAAATGAGTAGCATCTCATGCATTCAAACCAGATATTTGTGTGGTTAATGAAGGAAAATCTAAAAGTAGGAAAAGTTAAGAAAATTTTAGTATGGTTATCATTGAGCAGCAGATTGTTTTGGAATTTGCGTTCTCTGGGTCTTCACCTTGGATGGAAAGTTTTTTGAAGGTAAAAGAACATGTTTTCCTCCCAATTGTATGCAGTAAAGAATACACAGGATAGTATCATAGAATAATTGAGTTGGAAGGGGCCCATAAGGCCATTGATTCTCATTCTGCTCCTCAGCGCAGGAATTGAATTCAAAGCAGATCTGACAAATGGTTGTCCAATTTTCTCTTGAATGCCTCCAGCTTTGTCCAATTTTCTCTTGAATGGCTCCAGCTTTGGAGTGCTCACCACCCCCCTAAGTAATTGGCTTCACTGTTGTACCTTTCTAACAGTTAAGAAGTTTTTCCTGATATTCAGCCTTAATCTGGCTTGAGTCCATTACTAACAGATTTGCACTCTGGGGTGATGGAGAACAGATCCTGCCCCTCTTCTGTATGCCTACCTTTCATGTATTTGAAAAGTACTAAATCTCCTCTCAGTCTTCTTTTCTCAAAGCTAAACATGCCCAGTTCTTTCAGTCTTTCTTCATAAGGTTTGATTTCCAGTCCCATGATCATCCTTGTTGGCTTCCTCCAGTTTGTTGGCATCCTTCTTAAACTGCAATGGCCAGAACTGGACACAGTACTCTAGATGAGGCCTAACCAGTGCTGAATAGAGAGGGACTAGTTTGGAGACTATGCTTCTGTTAATACATCCTAAAATTGCTTTTGCCTTTTTTGTAGCCATATACAGTAGTTGGCTTGTATTCAGCTTGTGATCTACTACAATTCCAAAATCCTGTTTTACTTGTTCTATTACTATGCCAAGTATCCCTCATCTTGTAACAGTGCATTTGTGTTTTTTTTTCTCTAGGCATAGAACTCTGCATTTATCCCTGTTAAAGTTCATTCTCTTGTTTTAAGCCCATTGCTTATGCCTATCAAGATCTTTTTCAATTTCGTTCCTATTTTCCAAGGTATTAACTGTTCCAACCCAGTTTTGTGTAATGTGCAGATTTGATAAGTATTCCCTGCACTCCCTCATCTAAGTCATTAATAAAAATGTTGAAGCATAATGTGTGCAAAATATTTTGACTTCTATTGTTAAAGAACCAATGTAATTATCCTGTTTTCTCAGATCAGCAACCGGGTCCTGTATGTGTTTTTTACTCATGTCCAAGAATTCTTTGGAAATGTGGTTCTAAAACCTGTGACAAAGCCACTTCGTTGGTCTAACATGGCCACAATGCCAGCGTTGCCAGAAACACCAGAAAGCATCAAAGAAGAAATAAGAAGACAGGTTGGTCTTCTGGATTGATTAAATCTGTGCTTGTTCCATTAACAGTCATCTTGACTGAATCAGCTGTAGACAATTCAGATTTCTCATAGTGGAGTTGTTGCAACTTTTATTAGGAGAAGGTTTGCATGAAAAAAACTGGACTACAGGAAATAATTACAGCTTTAAAAGTTGACTTATGCCTCCCACATAGTAGATCAATGTTCAGTTAATATTTAAATATATGGCAATACCCTATAACCTTATTACCCTGCAACCACAAAACAGCAGCTTCAGAATCAACATTTCTTGATCTTCTATTCAATTAAAATATGGTCGAAACAGAGTTGCTTTGAATGCAAGATAAAGTATGTTCTGTATCTTGAATTCAGGATGTGAGTTAGAAAAATGAGATTGATTGGTTGTGTTCTTGGGGAAAAGTAAACTGAACAGATTAAACACTTGCAAATATTTTCTTGAATTAAGAGCTTTGCGTTTCTTCTTGCTATTGTTGTCTGTTTCATAATTTTCAGTCTGTGTCATTCAAATAATATCTTTCAAGATTCCCTTCCATAAAATGTATTCTTCTTAGAGCCAGATTATTGTAACATCATGAGGTAGGAAAGACAGTTCTGCATGCTCTTTAGAACTACCGTGGATGATTATTTTGGTGTGGAGAGAAATACTTAATTTATTCAGGGAGAGCTAAATCACTTATTGAAGTAGGCATGTATAGGAAAAGTAGGAGGAGTGATTTGAAGCAGAAAAGATGAATCACATTGTTGAATATGGTGTGTGTGGTGTTGTTGTTTCTAACTAGGAGTTCCTTTTAAACTGCTTGCACCGAGACCTACAGGTGGGGATCAAAGATTTATCCAAAGAGGAAAGATTGTGGGAGGTGCAACGAATTTTAACTGCTCTCAAAAGAAAACTAAGAGAAGCTAAAAGACAAGTAAGTTTCTTTGTGTTTTCCTTCTCTGACCCACACAGATTGGAAGGAAAGTTGCATTTTTTTGTTTTAGCTGACAAAGATGGAAACTGGAACAAATGTTGCTGTTGCAGTGTCATTCCATTCCTGGGCATAGAATCTAAACTGTCTTTTGTGCTGGCTCCAGTGCAGGAGTGTGGAACTTTTCTTAGTGCTGCTGGATCGAGATGTTCCATAGCGTAGGATGTGTGTTTCCTTCCTCCTTTTATGAGAGAGTCTCTTCACCCTGGCAGTGCAGTATAAGGGCTCTTGACTGGTTTTGCTGCTGCTGCATATTAGCAAGGGTTAAATAGTCAGAATGCTGAAGTAGCATTTGGGAGATTTGGGTTCTAATCCTTACTAAGATGTCGTTAGATTATCTTGGGCCATTTCAGCCTGACCTATTCTTATGGTCGTTCTGAGGATAGAACGAGGAGGAAGAGAGCTGTTTACAACACTATGCACTCATAGGAAAAAGGGTGAAATATAAGAACCGATACATTCCAAAGCATCGTTGTTGGAATAATTTTCACCTTCCCTTTTATGATGATTGGTTTGACATAGCACCTTATGAGATGAAGATGAAACAGTGCTGTGTGGAGTCCTACGTCACGAAGGGGCTTTTACGTCACACTCACTCACACTTAATTCACGCTGCCACCAACCATTCCCTCAAATAATACTTCAGGCCAATGTATGATTTCAAAATAAAAGAACTTATGTTTATCGAGTACAACAAAAGGAATGGTAAATCACTAGAAGAAAAATAATAAGGCAATCACTATAATAAAGTAACATTCACACACACTCTCTCACAGACCCTCACTAGATAGCACAGTTTACTTCACAATATCATCAAGCCCTAACCTTCCCTAACCAACCCTATCTGGTCCCTAACCAGCCCTATCTCAAATCCCTATCTCTAATCCCTATCTTGTTCCTATCTTGTCCCTATCTGAAATCCCTATCTGAAGCACTCACACCATTTACTCCCCTTATATACACTAGCTCCACCCCTTATGCCCCACCTTCCGTCACACTATTGGCAGATGACATACAGCTTCAGCAGTGATGGACAGGTGATGTCAACGTTACTGTAACAATTTTCACCTTCCCTTTTATGATGATTGGTTTGACATAGCACCTTATGAGATGAAGATGAAACAGTGCTGTGTGGAGTCCTGATAATTCACTATTCATGCTTGTTTAGTTTCTGCTGAGAAGGCTGTAAAATAGATCTGTTATGCTAGGTAGCTATCTACCCTTGAAGATGCTTTACGTTTCTGTTTTTCAGTTTCACAATTCAGTATTTCTCTTTCATGGTTATATTTTACACTTCTATTATATTTTTTTCAAGTTTTAATAGACATGACCTTTGCATGCTCAGCTGGTCTGTGTTCCGGTATGTGGAACCTGTCTCAGGTTGCCACATCAATCAGCTCATACCATTTGCTAGGATGAACCAGAAGTCTTGCCGGTTCATGGAAAATCAAAAGCAGTTTGACTTATTTAACTATCATCTGTTATAGAAAGGGTGACAAACAAGTGCTGTTCTAGAAAGCTTCAAATAACTTTAGATCTTTTTCTCAGCATGGCCATGGACACCAAAACTGTATGAGCACTCTTGCATTCAGTTAGATCAGTGGTTCTTAACCTTTGTTACTCGGATGCTTTTGAACTGCAACTCCCAGAAACCCCAGGCAGGACAGCTGGTGGTGAAGGCTTCTGGGAGTTGCAGTCCAAAACTCCTGAGTAACCCAAGGTTAAGAACCAGTGAGTTAGATGACTGAGTGTCTTCAACCATTGCGATTGCTTTCAATGCAGGAGTGTGAAACAAAGATTGCACGAGAGATTGCCAGCCTTTCAAAGGAAGATGTTTCCAAAGAAGAAATGACTGAGAATGAAGAGGTTATTAATATTCTGCTTGCTCAGGTATCTCCTTATGTCAACCATTCTTCTCTTTTAATTTTAATTTTTTCCCTTCTCACTACTTCTGAAACAGTCCCATCGTGAGCTGGAGAGAAACAAACATTCCCATTTGAGAGAAAACTATTCCTGTTAATGATGCAGGTTGTTTTAAATAAAAGGATAATCCACAGCTGCATCTGAGTCAGGTTTTTTGAGCAAACTGAAAGGTAGTGGAGGGGGTGGATAGTTTTGCTCCCAGTCCATGCCTCATTATTTTCCTTTCCTTGATCCTGAACACTGGATGAAGCCCTTGTGATTATCTCAAAACAGGGGACAGATAGCTCCCTGCTGCCTTCTGAAGGTATGGCTCACCTCTGGCATTGGTACTGGAGCAGGGGAAGACTCCAGACAACTTTTGGTTTCAAAAAATGACATAAGAGTAAATAAAGCTAGTAAATGTAAATGAATTTGAAATACTATCAATTCGGAATACAAGAACTTTTTGAAAGTGGCTGCTATTTGGATATCTCAAGTTCAGAGTCTGAAAATACTAATGTTTCAGATTACAACTTCCAGAACTGCCCAGTTACCATAGCTAGAGGATTCTTGAAGTTGCAGTCCACAGAACAACTTTTCTACGCTATAAATGTAAAGAATGCCTTCCAACAGTCCCTAGTTTCTCTGCAGCACCACCAGCCAATCCCATGTAGTGTTGTTGCTGCCATAGATATCCTTGGCAAGTCCATTCTCAGTTGTCTTCAGTTCTTTCAGTTTCTAATCACATAGCTTAAAGCAGTTCTTTAAATGCCCTCAAACACCCATCTCCCTATTTCTTCTTATACCTCATTCTTCTATTTTTCTACTCTATCTCTTGTCTAGCAAAAAAGAAGCAGTCTAGTGCAAGTTAGTGCAGCTTTTGCTGCTGGTCCAGCAAAATTGCCATTATACACCTTGTACCACACTTAATTTACTCAGGGGTTTCTCTGAAATATAATGCATTTCTTTTCTCTTTTTGTGGAGCTAAGAGTGTTCAAACATTGGGATTCAGAAGGAGAAATACAATTGCATAAAATGTGTGGCATTTGTTTTTATACATGAACAGAATGAGCAGTCTCCTACATGTAATAAATGCCTGTCATTTATTAGGGAGGTGACTTTCCACATTGGGACGTTGTATGTTGAACAATCATTTACCCATTGGTTGTTGTGGGTTTTTCGGGCTCTTTGGCTGTGTTCTGAAGGTGGTTCTCCCTAACATTTTGCCAGTCTCTGTGGCCGGCATCTTCAGAGGAAAGCACACCATCAGAACACGGCCAAAGAGCCCGAAAAACCCACAACAACCATTAAATCCCGGCCGTGAAAGCCTTCGCGAATACATTTACCCATTTTTTCCCTTGTTTACTCCACCTCCTTCCGCCATAGCTTGTTTCATGGACTATTTTTGATGCTCTTTGTCAAGGAAAAAATTAATAAAAGGGAATGGATGGGGCTACTGATTATAATACACTATCACTTGGTTGTACGGTAGGACCTGCTTATACCATCTAATTCTCTTTTACAGGAGAATGAGATTTTGACAGAACAGGAAGAACTTCTGGCCATGGAACAATTTTTGCGCCGACAGATTGCCTCTGAAAAGGAGGAGATAGATCGCCTCCGAGCAGAAATAGCAGAAATGCAAAGGTAGCAATTCTACCTGCTCAGGCTTTCAGATTTCTACATAAAGCACTTTAAAAAATCCCTCAGAGTTTAGTTCCCCACTGGAGCAGGTCGAAGGCTGTTTTATATTACATCATGGTAACAGGCAGCATTCTGGTTTGACTCAAGCTAAAACCTAGTGATCTTAAATCCTATTGACAGATGCCACTCTTTGTTTTTGTAGCTTTGCAAGTAATCAATCTTAATGGGTGATGTGAGCTATCTTCTTACAATGAAAGTTACTTTGTAACTACAATCCCTGGAAAGAATATGGTAACACAGCCACACCTCTTTGTATACATGTGAGTGAGTGTAATTGTGTTTCCTCTCATTCCATTGCCTGAAGGTTTTTGAAGAGTACTTGACTTTACAATGTGTTCTAACAGCCCCAAATGCTTGGAGAGGGTCCTGTAACAACCCAGATGCAAGATATGCTATAAATCTGTGCCTGTCTCTTTCAGTCGCCAGCATGGTCGAAGTGAAACTGAAGAGTATTCTTCTGAGACTGAGAGTGAAAGTGAAGATGAGGAAGAATTACAGATAATTCTGGAAGATTTGCAAAGGCAGAATGAAGAACTAGAGGTGAGACGATAAACATGGAACATTATAACTGCTGGAAAACTCAGTGGTTTAGATCTCTGGTTGCAGAGTCAGACATTGGGAGTGCAAATCCTCACTATGTCTCCTTGACAGAGGTTGCACTCGATGATATCTGAGATGTGTAATTAGGGCCTGAGCAGGGTAAACTAATTTTTGCCCTTGAGGAGGTTTGGATTACAGGCAGAATTCCCAGTTACTGGCCAGACAGTCCAGGCGATGTAGTCCGGACCAACGAGCAAGCATTTTGTTTCCTCCCCCATGATGTATAGGAGAAGACTCAAATAATGTGAAAGTGTACAGTTCCTGTAAACAACCATTTTAGAAGTATCCAAACATAATTTTTCAGGGAATAGTAAGAACAGTTTTTAGATTTTAAATGCTACAAAGAAAACTTGATGCCACATATTAGGAGTGGTTTGTGTTGCTGGTTATTCTACTTGTCATAAATTTCCAGCTCCTCCTGGGGCTAGATTTTCCACATGGCACAAATCTAAACTTCAGCTTGCGCATGAAGGTATGTGACTTGCTTCCAAGCAGTAACTACCCTGAGTTATATCCTGCTAATGATTCATTAGCCACATAAGCAGCTGTCTGATTGTAGCTGAAGTGATCCTCCCCCTCTCTTTATTCTTGGATAAAGGTGAAGAACAACCATCTGAACCAAGCAATTCATGAGGAGCGAGAGGCCATCATTGAACTGCGAGTGCAGCTTCGGCTCTTGCAGATGCAGCGAGCCAAATCAGAGCAGCAGGTGCAGGAAGAAGAGGAGCTTGGGAAGCGAGGGGGTGCATCACAGCTGCAGGCCCCCCAGGTACCCAGAGATGCTGTGCCAGATACAAAAACAGTAAAAGAGCAGCCAAAGGCAGTCAAGGAGCCCGTGAAGCCATCACCCAGCAAAGACAGAAAAGAAACACCAATTTGATTGAATTCCAAAGGTATTCAGGATATCGCTTCGGCAAAGCCAGGACCGTGCAACTTACTGTAAATCTGAAGCTTGTATATTCTGTAAATATTTTCTTTGAAAACCTGGAGACATTTTGTCTCCTTTGTACCTGGGGCTTCTGCCTATCAGGCTCAGGTTACTTGGAAGGATATAGCGAATAGAGATGGGGCAGGAAAGTGCAGCACAGCAGTTAACTTCAGCATGCCAGATCCTGGCATCAGGTCACCATTGGTGGTATGAAACAATTAGGGTTACTTATGCTGGGAAAGTCTTGGAAATTCTTTCAAAGCATTATCTGCTCAAGGGCTACTTCACACATGGTATTTCATAACACAGTTATAGGCAAAACCACATTCCCAGCATAGTATTTAGCAACTTGGTTGGTAGCTATTGGCATGCAGGAATTCCTTGCAGGCAGGGGCAGGCTGGGAATGATGTGTCCTTTGCCAGCCTGTTTTGCTGCCACACTAGCCGTGCAGGAAGGAAAGCTGCTTCTTCTGTGACTAGCATGGAAAATGGGTGGGCTAGTGAAGGAGGGACTGATCATTTTCCTTCTTCTGCCAGTCCATGTAATAGAATTTAAAAAAAAAAACAAACCTACCCTGCTGTGAGGTACTAGGAAACCTCCTTTCTCTGCTGGCCACTGCAAAAGAGGTTTCCTTACTCGTCTTCAGCTGGTAAGGAAATAAAGAGTACTAGACTCACACATGGTGTTGCCTACCTTGTGCACATCGTGCTCATTCTCTTTTGCTGTATCCACACATTGAAAAGAGGCACTTGGTAGAAGTGAAAAAAGTACATAAGCAATTATGGTGCATCATAGTCATATTTTCCAGTGAGCAGGTAAAAACATGTGCAAAGCTGTTTGAGAACTGAGGGGTCCAAGCTATAACCTTACATTTACTCGCTTTGTAAGTTTGTCCCATTTATTGTAATTTCTGCTTTTACTCACTCTTGCTTGTGCCTTTTGGTAATAGAGGAGCTTTATAAAATAATTTATCCTGAGCTGCTGATGTGTCCTGATCAGATAGAAGGTCTTCAAGTGCAAACCATGAGTGTAACTTACCCATGTTCTTTGGCCATCTGACATTTTGAAGTTTTTATGAAAGTACATGTGAAGCTAAGATGAAATTTCAAGTTGGCAACTGTATCTCTCTAAAAGAAAGTTGCCCAAGAACTGCTCAACTTTAGCAAAGCAAATATTTATAGGATTGATTAACTCGGGGGTGTCGGGTTTATAAATATATTACAGCAGACAGTCTCTTAATGCAGATTAGAATGCCATTCATTTCTTTCATTTTCAGAGATTCTTCCTGCATTTGATTCACACTTGAACATGTAGCCATCAAGACTTACAGATTCTCCAAGTTTGGGAAGGGGATGGAGCGATTTTACAAGGTGCTAAGAGCACTTCTGGAGTGCAGTACAACACATGAGTTTCAACTTCCTTCCTAAACTGGGAGCCGATTATTTCCTTGCCTATACATGTGTACTTCTGAGGAACATTTGACTTTGTGAAGATTTTGCCAGGATTGTGTCAGTAGTTGCACTGTGCTTCTTGTGCATTTGGAGTGCCAGGGATGTTGCTTGAGAGATATCTGAAGCTTGGAATTAGGGAGAGAGTGGCTCATCATCTTGACAATTGTTCGTACAGTACTTGTGAGAACCTTTGGGCACCATTGAAGCATCATATGGCTGCTGAGACTCTCAGAAAGAGAGTCTGCCTGTCATGCTTTCTAAAAAGGCAGTGGGACACTTTGCTAGTTATTGTGAAAATATTTATGAATGGCTATGTGGTTGAAGAGGGGGGTGCACAGAGCTTTTTTTATGGACAGAGAATGTCTACCCTAAGCATGTAATGGATCTTCCAGGATATGGTGGTTCAGACTATTCACTGTGGTGGGATTCCTGACAGAAAGCAGATGTCAGCTGCATCTGCATCCTGCTTGATTATTTACCATTGTCAGCAGTGAATTATATTTTCTTTCAGAGACAACCATTTTGAAATAACAAGTTTAATTACAGCAGTCATCTCAGCAATATTGAGCAGAATTTGAGTAGGGTGCTTATTGCATATTTAGTTTCTAATCTGCATATTTATTTGTTGGTGTGGACATTTTCATTGCATATTGCACTGTTGGAAATCTTTGCTGTGATTTAATTTTTGTACAAGCAATGCTTTGAGATGTTACAGAGAACAGCCTATTTTTTTTAAATCTTGAAGAAAAGAATTTATACAGACTGGTCAGCTGACAGTTGTGTGTTAATTCAATGTTTTCCTTGGCCTGTTACATAAATTTTATATATTCTGGCAGTATTTAAACTTGTTTTAAATTCACACTGATTTCTATTAAATTGTTAAGCATTTATATAATCCATGTTCATCGTGCAAATCTCTTTAATTTGTTAATTTTTGTTTTCTCAAGACTGGAATAATCAAGTAAATAAACTCAACAGTCATCTGTAATGGTATTATTAATGGAACTGCAGAAAACACCAAATACGCTGAATCCGTAACTATGATTCTTTTGGCCTCCATGCCAATAACCTTGTATATAGCATACCTAGTGGTTGATCAACTGGTAAAACAGATGGGTTGCTGCTCTACCATGTGTAGCATTGAACAAAGGAGGGGAGATGTATCTCGGTGTATTTAGAAAGCTTCCACAGACTGAGAGTGTAATACTGTTAAATAAGGGCTGGATTCTAATATGAGAAAATTGTTGGGTGCTCCAGTAGTAGGCAAAGCTAAAGCAACTTTCCAGGTTGTCAAACACACATAGATGTACACACCCTCCCCACCTTTTTGTGATCCTACCCTCCATGTCCTTAGGGCAATGGCTGTGCAGTAGTGAGGGAGGGGGAGCTGTTCCTAGAGAAATTGTTTCAGTAAGTTACTGTAGGTGGTAGATTCATTGTGACTAGCTTTCTTCAAGAAAAAGAAAAGTGGCACCTTGAAGCAGTGTCTCATAAAGGATCAGTTCACTGGTTTAGCTGCCTTTTTGCATGTTCCCAGTTGGGGATACATGAAGAAATGATGTCAACTGATGTGTTCGGAAGCTATGCATAAGAGTACTTTTTTAAAAAAAAAATTCTGTGGAGGAAGCTGTTGACATTTCATGTTGCCAGAGATAGGGGAGCAAGGAGAAGGTAGAGGAGTTTGGAAAGGCTGAATGAAGTCAAATGCTTCTGTGCTCATCTGGCATACAGCTAGTATCACAGTATTAAAACACATAATTTCAAACTAGATTTGTAAGTATTATTGATCATTGCCAAAATATTCAGTAAGTTGATAGTGTGTGTGTGTGTGGGGAAGGCTGACATAATATGAGCAAACACCATGTTTCTCCAACGCAAGTTAACTGTTGAGAAATGATGTTTAAAAACAATTAGACAAAATATGTGATTATGGAGAGCTCAGTGAATTAATCATTCAGCATTTTATTCCACCACTTTTATAGGAACAGGTTATATTAAAAAATTCCAGCAAGCTGCATGAAGATGGAAATGGGTATGCTGATGAAATCTGTCAAAAAACAACCCAGTGTGGGATGTCACATGTAGTCAGATACTGCATTATAGATGAATATGACAATCAACTTACTTTTTTTGAAATGGAACAAGGCAGTATGAAGACCAGATCATATCCAGGATTAATAATCATAATTGTGTGCCATCAAGCAACCTTTCCAGGTTTTTCTAGCTAGATAATACAAAGTGATTTACCATTCCCCATTTCTTTTGGCACCTTGGACCTATGCAGCTTGCTCAAAGCCACACAGGCTGGCTTTTCTCCCAGGAGGCACTGAGGAATTTACTCCCAATCTCTAGCTCTGCAGCCAGATACCTAAACCATTTAGCTATCCAGCCAACTCCAAGATTTATAGTAAGGCATTATACACATTCCTAATCCAGTAATTGGAACTGCCAACTTGTTCCAAAGCCATGTTCTCTTTTCAAGTATACACATATCTGCCATGAGAAATGACTGTGCGTATCTGAGTCAGTCTAGTTGAATAGATAGCTTTTTCATTCTGTCTCCTTGATCAAGCTTTCACTTGGGAAAATGGACATGCACAAGTAGCAGTATTTCCTTCAATAGATCAGGATGTCCATCTGTACTGTGTAGGAAAACATGAACTAGCATGAAAACACATTGGACAGCATCAAGCTAATTTAAATACATAACATTAGGTATTCAAACCATGATCAAAACAGGAAAAGGAGAAAAGCATATCAGATTTACAAGGTTTTACGGTATTAAGAGAAGGAGATTTCATTCACTCTTATTAATATTTTTTATTTGGAGGAGAGAGCATTTTATCACAACAGTTTGAAACAGCATGATTAAAGACTGCTACACTCCTGAGAGTGATCACAGATATGTACAGTATATGAAGAAAAAGTTGCACCTCAGAGCCGATCATGATCAAGTTAAAAATACCTGACTTGAAGTACATGTGCTACTAGGTTTTCTTGAGGTCATGACCAGCATGAAAAAAAAAAGACACAGGTACTTAGAGGAAATTTCTGCTAATGGATACAGCAATATGCTGTGTTTACGTATTAAAATTAGATTGTTTTAGTGTTAGCACTGAGCCCTTAAAGTGAGAAAGGACACACCAAATCTCTACTTTTTCCTCATTTACACACATCAAAACTATTCACACTTAAGGATGTGCCCAGCTGCACACAAAGCAAGTCTTTTCATGGATAAAAACTTTAATAGCTAATACTGGAGGTGCCTCCTCACTTCTTGGTACAAATCCGCCCTTTAGAGGCTGTGAGAATTTCTGTTACCAGTTTCTAAGGAAAAAAGCTTGCTAGGTCACAACTCCTCAGGAGAAAACAATTGCCAGTTTCTGGAAATCACATTCCTTCTACATTGGAAATGCTCAGCCAATTCAAGTTTTACATATTCAGGAAGACAAGACGATTTAAGGCTCCGGTGGCAAATACAATCCTCTCAGCAAAGTTTTTTTTTGGAGTCAAGAGTCAACAGGTAATGTTTATTTTTATTTTTTCTTTTGACTCTAAATTCTTGGTCTCAAGTTGAGATAACATTGAACTGAAGTTAAATCTGGCAAGATAATTCTCTCCACAAAAGAGGTTTTCGGTCATCCATTTTAGGAGCACCTGAAGATTGCCTGTGATTTTATAATGCCTTTTCCCCCTTTATTAAAATTAAAGTAATATCCAGAGACTACTTCAATAAGTTGAAGAGGCTGTGCTCATGGCGTCATCTGCAATTTTGGTACTGGCAGGATGGATACTTGCAAAATATTTTACATCATTGTCATTATCCATTTGGAGTGCCACAATTGTTTGTTCCACTGCTTCTTGATGGGAATTGACACACATCAGGAAATATTCTGTGTGGGGGCAAAAAAAGGGAAAAGATAAAGGCACCATTAAAAAATCATACACAGTGCAAGCCACAAACATTGTATCATCAAATAATTATGGAAGTCAAATACAGCTTGCCCAACCTAATTTTCTCTTAACTCTCAACTTGTGGTTTTCTTGAATGTGGGTGTGAGGTGGGGGCAGCTCTTGAAAACCAGGGAACTCCCATGAGAGGATGAAATTGCTCAGAATTGAGCTGTCTTGTACTAATGAACTTCCATTGGATGCAAGCCTTTAAATGTATAGCAAGGCTGTCACATACATTTCCAAATAAGATGCTTATTTTTAACAGCTCTTTCCCCAGCAGATTCTTAATAGCGTAGCCAAAGAAGCACCTATCATGGGCTGTCAGAAATATACAGCAGAGGCCCGTCCTATTCTGGCACAACTGGCATAACCAAAATGGGGGCAAACTTAACTGAAGTCTTCTGGCTCCAAGGAGGAATATGGATTGCATCTGAAGCTCAAGTAGAGACCATCTCTCAAACTACAATCTGTTACCTCTAAAGTGCACCTCTCTTAGAGCAAACAGAAGACAGCCTTGGTATCTGCTATGTTTTGGTGACCACTGATAAGATGCAATAAAAGGTGGCACTTCAATACTGCTGGCTTTTCCCTCCAGTGTGTTCTTCATAGATGCCTTCCACTGTTCATAGTTTTCCTCCTCATTTGTTTGTTTCTAACCTTTTAAGTTCCTCATCTATTTTTTCCTGTATCTCCAATAGGTTTCACTGGAACAGGATCTGAGCCAGCAGCCCCCACATCTCAATCCCACAACTTTATTCAAGGGGTAAGGCTCTCTCTTCTTATCTGAAATATATGTAACTGACAAGATGATGCTAACAGTAAATCCAGTGCAATCCTGTACATATTTATTCAAAGTACATATTGGCACATTTAATGAATTTTCTGCCCTGGTAAACACACGGAGGACTTCATCCCATGAAGAAGGAAAGCATATGCAAGATTCACTCACTGCTCATTAGCTCTAAAATACTTGGCAGAGCACCTTCTTCCACTACGTTCTGCCCGTTCCACCCAGGCTGGGTGGTTGAGGGGGCTAACTCTGAGAGAGGCCCAAAGGGGAAAAAAGGTAAAAACTGGGCCTTCTTGGCAGTGGCCTCTCGTCTCTTGAACAACTTGCCAACAGAAATCCGCCTGGCCCCCTCGCTGAGGGCTTTCAAGAGCAAGCTAAAGACCTGGCTCTACAAGCAGGCCTTCCCAACAACCAGTACTTAGCTTTACCTCTTCTTTTTCCTTTCCCCCCATCTTGGACTCTTGTAGTAAAACTGGGCCTCATTTTTAATGCATTTATGTTTGCATTTATTATATTTGTATCTTTGGTTTTTGTATTTTGTGTAAACTGCCCAGAGTAGACATGTTCTAGATCGGGGGTATATAAGTCTAATAAAATAAAATAAATAAATAAAATTCTCATTTAAGGCATGTTCCCATGTCAGAGGCGCTATAGTCCTGGAAAATAACTGAGCGCACTTTTAATTAAACACTGCCCTGAAGAGAGGCAGCCAGATTGTGTCTAGGAAGAGCAAACACCAAGAAGCTCAGGTGTGTTCATCAACAAGTGTATTAAGATCTTCTCTTGAAAATTACACTGTGCCCCCATAATTTTGGCAAAAACTCTTAATACTGCAGATAATAAGGGCCAATATAGAGCAACAGATTCAGCAAAAATATAACAGCAAGAAAACAAACACAACTGCAAGAGAATACAAACAGAGAAGTGCAAACATTTGACTACTTTTTGTAAAACAGGAAACAGAGATTATTCAAGGTCTATAGTGTTACCAACCTTTTTCAAGAAGTGTTTGCCTTAATGTTTTTGCAAGCAGGACCCTAACATTTGGAACTCTATCTGAGGCCAAGTGCAGTAAATGAGGCAGCAGATACTCAGCAAACTGGTCCATTGGCAGACAATCATCTTCTATAATAGTCTGAAATAAATAAACTGTTACAAGGTTTCAGCCAAAAGCAACTGCTTGCTTCAAATTAATTGTTAAAATCACAATTTTATGATGTTATATATTTTATATTGTTCTGTTTTTATCTATGTAAGCTGCCCCGAGTAGACATGGTCTAGAGGGGCAGGGTAAAAATTCAATCCATCAATCCATCAATCCATCAATAAACAAAAAAAGGAAGCAATAGCCATTCCAAAAGCAGTCCACAGTTATTGCCCATTAGGATAAATCAAGCTAAAGCAAGAGGCAAAGTCTCCAAATAATGTGAACGAGAATCCGCTTTGAAATGTTGCTTCTTTTATGCTTGTTTAGTTCTACCTTCTCTTTTTTCCCTTATTGCCCCAATACACCTATTCAGACGCACGAATAATTCAAAGCTAACTATCTCTAGGATAGTATCATATATATTAGAACATGCAAATTCTCAAATTTGGTGGTGAGACTCTTGAGAGCTCTTTCTCTTTATTCAATGCAAACAACAGGAATAATGAAATACCATTAACCACCCACATATCTGAATTCTGCTGTAAATATATCCACAGATTTTTTAAAAAAAATCTAGAAATAATGCAGTGTTAAAGAGTACAAGAGCCAAGCAAACTGATGGCAAGAAAGCTGCAAGTTACAGAACAATTACCTGGCAAATAAAGACAAAGGTTTGTCGGCCGGACCATTTTGGGCATCTGCAGAACCTTTCAACCAGTTCATTCATGAAGTCAATCACAAATGTTGTTGTTGGATCATTATATAGCTTCTTTACCATTTCACTAACCTAGAAAAGATGTAAAATAGCTCAGAACATAAATTATGCGCTAAAATGACAATGGTATATAGTTTTATTTTTCAATAACTTTTAATTCATACCAGCTTGTAGGAAATCCAACGAACAGAAGAAACTTTGTCCGCACATAGGCTGAGAGCAATAGGTCGCAGGTAGTCATAGATATCTTTGGCACTATAGAGATCTAGAAGCAAAATGAGCTGCCTACAAAAAATAAAATGAACAAAGAGCTGAAGCTCATAAGAAATTGTGAAGATGGTGGCCAACCCTTGGAAAGAGAAGAAATGATGCTTCATTACACTGAATGGAAAACAGACTTGCATATACTAAGTGTTTCTCACTATTCAAAAGTTTATAATTTCTTTATCTTGACAAGACTGTCACCATATAAAGCCATTATAAGCCAACAGCCTCTGTCGCATTGCTAATTTGACACTATAGAATGCAGAATTCAGTATCTTCAGAGGATGCTTTATCAGAAGATGGCAACTAGATTACACTGGTCCTTCAGGAGCTACAGTGGTTCCCAGTTTATTTCTAAATGTATATAGAAGTGCTAAATGATGACACTGAATTCCTACATAAGGAGTGCATATTATCAATAAAGCCTACCAGCCCAACTGCAGAACACGCTAGGGCTCAGGAGCTGTTCCCCATACCGCTTCTGTTTGCCACTATCTCTGGCACTTGCTAGAACTCTAGGTGCTACATGTCATGGTAAACCCTCCCAGGTTTCAGTACGAACTAATAGAGCAGGTACATACAACTCGCTGGATGCGAAAGTGATAATGGTTTCTCTTATGGCTGCGGGAGCATTTATCAGTCACCACAGGGTGACTAGCAGCCTCCTACTTCTGGATTATGTGCCCTTGGGCACCCAAAGAGGTGAAGAGGCTTGCTTTCCCTCTCCCTCAAAATAAAAGGAGCCACACACTACAATCCCAAGCACATTTACTCAGCACATTTACTCAGCACATTTACTGTGACCGAGCTGAAGCTTCTTTGGGAGTAACTACCAAAACCTACATGTAGTTAATATACATTGACACTGACTAGCAAAAGGTGGAGTAAGGAGGAGCACAAATGGTGGCTTTTACCTTCTTGAAAGCTGAACTGTAATGAGGCTGGAATGGGTACAGCCATATTAATAATAATCAGATTCACTCTTTAGAAAATGCAGTTATTTTTATTCTTACTGTAACCTCCCCTAAGTATTTCACAGAAAGATGAGGTAAAATGCAGTGAGTATAGCAAGAGAGCCACTCTGAGCTCCTTGAAGGGAAAAAAATGGGCCTTAAAAATAACCAGCAAACCGGGTGTTGGAAGTTCTGACTTGCATCTGCATAATGCACAGTGTGGCTTATCCACTCATTTCACTCCCTGTACAGTCTGTCTATTCTTTTCAAAACATCATTCCTAAAGGGACACAGAACCTCATAAACACATACACACAAAGTATTGGCAACTGTAGGTGGCAGATGGAGAAGTGGTAACTAGAAAGAGCTATCTTCCATACATATAAAAAAAAACAGAAATGTTTTCCATTCACTGTAAGAGCTCTTTAGATGCATGCAAATTAACTGCAAGTTTTATTTAGACCTAACAATTAGTGAAGATCCTATTACTTACTAATTCAAATTGGGGAGGGGGGAAATGTTGGTTTAAATAGATCTTTGAAGTTGGTGCTTTAATATATTATTATTTAAAATGCTACTTTGTTCATTCACTTCCTCTAAAAGCCAATTCAGGGGTCACATGCAATGAAGCCAAAATAGGTTCAATGAGAAAATGCACGGAGTCAGCATGCTTAAAGGATTTCGAAAGTTAGCAAAAGGACAAATACATCTGTTAAAATTGGAATGGGTCAAAACACTCCCTTCCCCACAAAAGCCCATTAGTACTGGGGGATTCTCAGCAATTGCAAAGCGTTGATATCATTCTGGGGGAAAATCCAGGGGAGGGAGGATAGGCTGAATGGCTTGTTTCAGCCTCTTAGTATTTGGGAGGAAGGCCTGGAGCAGTAACAGAAGCATTCCGCTTCTACGTATGTGAGTGTGGAGTTGGGTGTGTGTGTGCGCCATGTTTTCTTGCAAGTCCTGCTGAAAACTATCCATTGGTTTCATATACACAAATTCTTGTACCATTATTAATAAGAAAACAGAAATAGGCTCTCAAACCTTCTCATGCCTTCTGCCAGGTGTTTTGTTAATCATCTTACAAGCATGAGAGCCAGTGTGTGGTGTAGTGATTACACAGTGGGTTGTACAACTGGGACCGCAACAAGGAGACTTAAACCTCCCCGCCCCCACCCGTTATAAAGCTTCCTAGGTAACCTCAGGTCAGTTACTGGCTCTGAGCTAGTAAATCCACCACAAACCTGTTCCAATGATAAAAGGAATCACTAATTATTGTGTCATTCAATGTAATATGATTTACAGTGATGCCTCGCAAGACGAAAATAATTCGTTCCACGAGTCATTTCGTATTGCGAAAATTTCATCTTGCGAAGTGCAGTTTCCCATAGGAATGCATTGAAATGTATTCGTCTTGTGAAGCACGGCCATAGAAAAATTTGTCTTGCAAGTCACCAAAAAATCGCAAAACGCTTTCATCTTGCGAGTTTTTCGTTGTGTGAGGCATTCGTCTTGCGAGGCATCATTGTATTAATTAGGTTGAAAAGGACTGTGTAATTAAGAAGTAATTTACTGCTAAAACTTACTCAGCAAGCTCTGCTCGGAAACGCCAATTCCTGCTATTATCTGTGACTAAGAATTCCTGTAGCTGGTAAAGGTATTCCCGTCTTTTGTCAGGGTGAAGAAGCTGGAAACGTAATTGTAAATATTGTCAAAGTTTTGCATATTTTAAAACACTGTTAGACCAATTGGCATAATAATATGTTCTGTCTCGAGCACAGTTGAGGAAAAACTTTTAACATCTCCACAACATACTGAGGAACAAGACTTTATAGCAACATGTGACGTAATTCGGGAGAGAAATTACATATATCTTCCATTTCGTGACAACCATCATGAACAGCAAAGTTATCTTTTGTTTACATATTTTATGTCTAACCATACAGTACATAACTATATGTCACGGATAGCTCTCAGAACACTCCTGTCAGTCAGGTCAGAGCTCTGATATGGGAGCCTATAACATGACAGAAGGGGCGGAACCAGGGAAATAAAAGAGAAAAAAACACAGTTTAGGCTGTTAGGGCTGGGGTTGTGTTAGAGAGAAGGGTAACAGAGAGATAGAGAAAAATATAAGAAAAGGACAATTCATGGAAAGTTTATGTGGTTAAGATTGGAAAGAGTTAAAAGAGCTAAGAAATAAATAAATAGCTGAATATATAAATACCTTGATTAAAGTGAATCTACATAAGCAAACATAAATGTAATCAAAGCAACGTTTATTGAATGAATAATAAAGGACCATCCATGATTTTCTTTATATGATTTATCTACAAACCCATAAACAAACATTGTTATATTGGAAAACACTGATCTAATAGTCATATTTGGTACAGAGAGGAACATATCCTCTGGTGGTGGTGAAAAAGGGGGAAAAGTACATGTCATTCCTGAAAGAGAACCTGGGTGTGTAGAAAAACAAACAGGGGAACTGGGGGAGTGTGACATAAAGTGTGACATAAAGTAGTGACCAGCGGTGGGATTCAAAGTGAAAGAAATCCAGTAAGCCAAAATAAAGAGAAATTTTCAAATTCTGGGATTCAAAGTGAAAGAATGCCAGTAAGCCAAAAGAAAAAAATTTCTGAGTCTAAGAGATCTGTTTGTCAATAGTCCAAGTGAAAGAGTGGGAACCCTAAAGCTCTGTGAATAGCTAGTAGGGACTCCTGATTGTGGAAAGACAGAGGCAGGAAAGGACTCTGAGGAGATTTCTGTAGTTAAAAGTTTATCTCAAGCTAAGAGTGTAAGGACCAAGAGGGCTAGCTTTAGATCCCAAAGCTCTGAGAAAGGGAGCGCTGAGGGGACCCAAAAGTGGAAGCCAAGGTCTAAAAGGAATAGCTGAGGTGAATACAACTGAGGCTTACAGAAGAGAAATATTTCTGGAACAGCTGAGTGTCTGGAGGCAGAAAGTAACAGGGTCTCAGACACAGGAACAGGGAGGCTAGGTGCCTAACAAAGTAGCAATCTGTGGCTGCCAGGAGAAAGCTGCAAAGTATCAATCTCTCTAACACAGAAAAAAAGAGGTCCTTTTTAAAACCGAGGCTTGCCTATCTGAATCTGTGAGAAAACAAATAAACCATGCCTTCTAAGAGAGGGAAATGGTTAACAATGGAGGTATCAGATGTGCAAAGTTTACCTCATGAAGAGGAAAGCCCTCTTGAATTAGCTGAGCAAGATGATGATGCTCAGGAGGATGATGCCTCAGGAAAACTCCCTAGAATTTCTAAAATGGAAATTAAAGAAAGAACAGGAATTCCAGTTAAAACACTTAAAAATAAAGGCTTAGGCTGAGGCCAGAGAAAGGGAGATGGATATGGAGCGAGAAGAGACAGATGGAAATGGAAATGAGAGAAAAAGAAATGGCCAAGGGAAAAAGAGATGGAACACCAATTAAAAATGAAACAATTAGAATTAACAGCCCTAAATCTTAATAACAATAATTCAAATGATAATGAAAATAATTTAATAAAAGTATATGTAAAGAAATTTCCTCAATTTAGAAAGGGGGATAGTCCGGAGTCATTTTTAATTTCTTTTGAAAGGACCTGTTGGGACTTCAATATTACAACCCAAGAGAAATGATCATATTAAGATCACAAATAAGTGGAGAATTGGCTGAAATATATTCTCAGATGCCACAAGAAAAAGCCAGAGACTATGAAACCTTCAAGAAACTAGTTTTTTCAAGATTTGGAATAAATACTGAACATTTCAGAAGGAAATTTAGATAATTAATTAAAAAGCCTGAGGAATCATATGCTCAATTTGTGGCTAATTTAGTCAGATATTTGGAAAAATGGCTAGAACAAGCTGGTGTGGAAACAACAGAGGATATAAAGAACATTATAGGTTTAGAAAAATTTTATTCAGTGCTGCCAGGTGAAGTAAGATATTTAATCAGGAACAAACAGCCAAAAACAGTTCAACAGGCAAGTGAGACAACAGATTTTATATCTGAAATTAAAAACCCAAAATTTTCTGAAATAAAATTGGGTGGTAGAAACTGGGAAGACAGAAAGAAAGAGCTCAGAGATTTCCACAAAAACAAACAGGCAACTGGAAGCCATTTTAGAGACAAACCCTCAGAGCAGTACTCACAGAAGAATAAAAGCTTTGAAGTGAAGGGAGAAAAATCCCTAGATTTAGATCAAAGAAAGGTGAAAGTGTGCTTCGGATGTGGAGAAAAGGGGCATTTTATTTCACAATGTTTATAATCTAAGAATAAAGAATTTAGTCAACAGAAAGCAGGGGCAATTGTGCCAAAGAAGGTTTACTATGTCCAACAGCAGACTATGGAAAAGAACTCTGAGGCAGTTCAAGATGTCATTTTAACTGACAAAATAAGTAGCTATTACAGACCAGGTTCCAACACCTTGTTTAATTGGGCTAGATTTAACTGAGCATGTCAAAAGTGTTTTGATCAATACGTGCTCACAGAGAGAAAAGATAGAAAATCCTGGTGAGAATAATGAGGTTCAGGAGGAAGACTTAAGTGGAAGTCAATCAACTGAAATAGCTGAAGTAGCAGCTGTAACAAATTCTCAGAAAAAAGTTTTAAACAAGAACAAGAACAGGATTCTACTTTGCAGCAATATTTTAATCTAATCAAAGAAGAACCAGTAACCCCTGAATTCCCTGAGAAATTTGTAGTGGACAGAGATTTATTATATAGACAGGGTATGATAAACCCTAAAAGGGGAGGGAAAAGTATCCACATACAACTGATTATCCCTTTTAAATCTAGAGAGAAAATAATGGAAAACGGATATTTAGACTCCTTTGAAGGTCATTTTGGAGTCAAATGCATAGAGCAGGGGATAGCGCAAAGTTATTACAGCGGTGCCTCGCAAGATAAATGCCTCACGGGACAAAAAACCTGCAAGACGAATGGTTTTTGTGATCGCTGTGGTGCCTTGCAAGACAGCTTCTTCTATGGCCGTGCTTTGTAAGACGATTTTTTGTCGCAAGACCGATACCTCACAAGACGAAAATAATTCATTCGTCTTGCGAGGTTCCCATAGGAATGCATTGCAATGCATTCCTATGGGAAACCGCTTTTCGCAAGACGAAAATTTTGCAAGACAGCGCTACTCGCGGAACGAATTACTTTTCGTCTTGCGAGGCACCACTATACTGACCAAAGATGGAGAAGCAAATAAAATTATATGGTCAAAGCTGTGACATTTACCAAAGACAGGGAGATCCTGAGGAAAAAAAAATGAGACCTGAAGTAGCAGGCATAGCTAAGAAAGACTTAGTGAAAAACTCTAGTGAAAATTCCAATAGTGAGCAAAAGAAGAAAAATGATATTCGCAAAGATTATATTGAAAAATCTAATAAGAGTTTCAATCCACTGACTCATGCACACTTAGAGAAGTATGTAGTTGATAGAGGGGGTTGGAATTGGATAGAACAAATTAAAGATAATTTCATATATACACGCTCACAAGAAAGTCAGGAAATAACCACAAAAACAAAAGAAAGTTGGGAAAGAAAAAGTTTCCTGGAAAGTCAACTTAATAACTAGTCTGAAGAGGGCTGTATGTTTTTATGAGAAAACCCAACGAAAGTAGTTTTGTTCAAAAGCAAAGGTTAGGCAATGTTAAAAATTCTAAAGAAAGATCATTCTATCTTAGAGAGGAAGTACTGATGCTAAGGACAATGAAAGAAAATAAAGTAAAATTAAATTGGGCAGGTCCATTTAGGGTAATATGCAGGATGAGTGAAGTAAATTATATTATTCAGGAGGATGGAGAAGCAGGTCAAAGAGTGGTACGGGTTAAGATGATTAAACCGTACTATGGAAAAGACAATAGTACCATATATACAATAGAAGAAGTATCCAGGAGAAATTAAAGGCAATACTGGGAAGAAAGAGGAGTGCACTATTATAACTGAGGAAATATTAATAAGCTTTACTCTGTTCATAGAACAAATAAAAGAAGCAAGAGTAAAAGTTTTAAAAAGGATAGCAGGCTATTAGGTATTCAATTCCAGAGATATAGTCTCTCCTTTAGAAAATGTAAAAGCCAAAAGAAAAGCTGAGAGGATCCTGTGGTCGAGCAGATGCCAGAAGACCTTCAAGAACTTGCAGACTGCAGTGATGGCCGGTCGTGTCGTGAGAGTTCCAGAGGGACTTCACCATCATCGCTGATGTGTCCAGATTCGAACCAGGAGCCATACTGAGCAAGGCGGACAACAAGAAAGACCGAGCAGGTGAGAGGCATTTATTTAACAACTGGAAGGTAAGATTATTGATTGATTGGACATTGCAAAGACCGAAACTCTATGTGAGGTTACGAACTGTGAAATACAAAACTAGCAAACTTGCAAGAGGGACACAAAATCTGAAAGACTTTAATTGTGAGACCCAAAGCAAAAAAAAGACTCAGAATAAGATTGCAGACGCCTGGTCTCAAAGACCCAATGGATAACAGAAAGCAATGGGACGTGTTATCCCAAAGAGCAGAAGACTGAAGAGTGAAGAAGAAAAACCTATAATGACAAATATTAGAAGTAATAATGTAATCAAAGGTTCTGATTATGTTCATATGTCAAAAAATAAAGTAATGCAATGTAGTGTTAAAATTAATGACAAGTAGTAAATAAAAGAAAAATTAATGTAATATGTATCTTTAATGTGAAAAAAACTGCTCTAATTAGAAGTTCTAAATGTGTATTACTGTAATTTGAAAAATGATTTAAAATGTAAGTATACAGAAATAAATAGTAAGTAAAATTGGTAAAATGTATGATGAAAAGAGATATAATGATAAAGGTAATTTAAATATAAAGTAAAAATATTAATAAGAATAAATATATATGTGTTATAAGAATAAGTATATATATATAAAATATATCAAATGGTTAAATAGAAATAGTAAGAAATTGCAATTGTTGTGCATGAGGGTAACCCACTTTAGATGTTACCGCATGGCACAAACCTTTTCAAGGGGGCAGGCATGTGACAGACAGCTCTCAGAACACTCATGTCAGTCAGGTCAGAGCTCTGATATGGGAGCCTATGACATGACAGAAGGGGCGGAACCAGGAAAATAAAAGGAAAAAAAAGACAGTTTAGGCAGTTAGGGCTGTGGTTGTGTTAGAGAGAAGAGTAATAGAGAGATAGAGAAAAATATAAGAAAAGAACAAGTCTTGGAAAGTTTATGTGGTTAAGATTGGAAAGAGTTAAAAGTGATAAGAAATAAATAAATAGTTGAATATATAAATACCTTGATTAAAGTGAATCTACATAAGCAAACATAAATGTAATCAAAGCACCATTTACTGAATGAATAGTAAAAGACTATCCATGATTTTCTTTATATGATTTACCTACAAACACATAAATAAACATTGTTATATTGGACAACAGTGATCTAATAGTTATATTTGGTACAGAGAGGAACATATCCTCTGGTGGCAGTGAAAAAGGGTGAAAAGTACATGTCGTGCCCGAAAGGGAACCTGAGTGTGTAGAAAAACAAACAGGGGAACTGAGAGAGTGTGACAATTACTATGAAAAGAACATGCCAAATTTCCAGAGTCAGAAAAGAAAAAAAATACCTTCAGAAAATCGTGTAAGTGCTTAAGCACACCAATCCTAACTTCATCTAGGTCTTTTAAGAAGCCGTTGAAGACTGGAACTAGATCACCAGCTGTCAGCTGGTCTCCAAGGATGACAGCAAGTTCATGTATTGAGAATGCCAGTGTTCTTCGAACTTTCCACTGAAAGAGAAGAAAAACCACAGAAACATTCACCCACAAGGCACGCTACTTACTAAATTGTACAAAGTGGTTTTGTAGTTTTATTACAGAAAATAAAATAAAATTAGTTCAGCATTTAATTTTCAGAGCACTAGAAAAATCTGTTGTTGTTTAGTCATTTAGTTGTGTCCGACTCTTCATGACCCCATGGACCAGAGCATGCCAGGCCCTCCTGTTTTCCACTGCCTCCCGGAGTTGGGTCAAATTCATGTTGGTAGCTTCGGTGACCCTGTCCAACCATATCATCCGCTGTCGTCCCCTTCTCTTCTTTCCTTCACACTTTTCTAACATCAGGGTCTTTTCCAGGGAGTCTTTTCTTTTAATTTCGTGGCTGCTGTCACCATCTGCAGTGGTCATGGAGCCCAAGAAAGTAAAATCTGTC